TATATGTATATATATATATATATATATATATATATATATATATATATGAGAGGGAGAGAGAGAGAGAGGGAGAGAGAGAGGGAGGGAGAGAGAGAATGTGTCGTTAGTGCATCGCTTATCTGCGCGAAAAGTGAAGAAACCAAACAGAGTTCAAATTCCGATCGATTCTGTTTCCTTCAGTTTGCGCTAATATCCTTGGATAAGGAATGAATACATCTATGGGTCAAATATTACGGCAGATTGGGCTCTCTTTCCTTAGGAGGAAACCAGTCTGTGAGAAGGAAAATTCTTAATCCAAACCTGAGGATGGCAGTTTGGAAACTTCGTTGCACACCGTGCACCATTTCTCAGCTATCAGCTCTTACGAAAGGCGTGGCTGGATCTGCACAAGCCTTCGTCCCTACAAATAACCTGTGTTGGTAATCTAGCAGCACAATTAAACTTTTGGGCTCTCTTCTATCAAAATCATCATTCAGAGTCCATAATAATAATAATAATAATAATAATAATAATAATAGTATCGTCTGTCATATGACTGTGATTTAATGCTGGGACTATACAGGATGCGATGGTTAAATTGTCGCCATTTTTATATTTTTAATTTCGAGCTTGCGCCTTGTTTGTTTTTTTTTTTATTTTATTTTGTCGACTGCACAGTATAGTAGGGTCAGTTGGGCACCACCTGTGAGAAAAAGAGCACCATGACGCAATTCACTCGGCCAGAAATTTAGAAGCTACTTGCTGTACTGCTTAGTATTCGCACCGGAAGCTCCAAGAACACAGTCATGACTGTTAGACAATTTCTGTGACCACATCATCCCTTACATTTGACCACCTAACTCTCCACACTTCAACACCCCTTGATTATTATGCGTGGGGGTGCAGTTGAGCGAGAGACCAACAAAACTCTTTGTAACACCAAAGCGGAACTAAAGGCAAGGATTATGGCAGCATTCACCAACTTAAACAAGGAGACCGTCTAGAAGAGTTGCAGGAGATTCTGAAGACGTCTGGATGTTGTGGTTGAAGCCAATAACAATTTTATTGAATAAATTTACTCTTTCGCATTTCAAGATATTTTTTTAGAATTTTGGTAAATATATCTCCTAAAATGAGATGTCAGTGTTATTTTCATTTTTGCGTAATTTAGACGACAATTTATCCACCTGTACATTTGCTATGTGTGTGTGTAGTGTAATAGTTACTGAGGAGCTGAATTCAAATTTCATCTGCTGCATTTAATCTTGTACAAATGACCGAACGAAAAACGTGGATTCAACACTTTTCCTACTCCAAGCTATGGGCTAAATAGCAGGGAAGACTTGGCTATCTAGCCTTGGGTGTCAGTCAGTCTAGGATAAGAGCAACTGTTACTTCAGAATTGTGAAGAAGGTAACAGGAAAACACTACTAATTTTTCTCAGGACGTCTTGGCTGTTCACAGGTAATAAAAGAAAGAGATCCGAGGATAAGCACAATCAACTTCTTCTGGAAATCAGAGAGCCGATTTCCAATTGCTGGCTGGTTCGTTATATTCACTTACGCGCAAATATCATTGACCAAAGTATGAATCCACCTCTTCTCCTCCAAACTATGGGTTAATTAGTAAGATTTATATCCTTAAAATCATTATTATCGCCAAAAAAATCTAAAAATATACCTGGCTTTAAATAACCTGCTGATAGTCCGTAATAAAAAGATAAATCAATCAACCAATCAAAATCTAGACTCGACGGTTTACCAAAGCTAAAGGATCCAGTCTACCATACTAATCAGCTAAAGATAAGAAGATAAAAGATAGATCCATGCCTTTACTTATTCATTATTACGAAGAGAACTCAAACAGCAACTGGAATTTGAACTTGGCTCATCAATTAATTTCAGTCATGCTAGCCATGACGATGACAAACTCTAAATCTGAATACGTGAATATGTATGTGTGCTAACTTTTGTACTATAAATTTTCGATTGAAAATACGTATGAATAATAAAATGTTTAAGATAAAATATGAAATATTTGAAAAAATTATATATATATATAATATCAGAACGAAAATACTTAAGTTAATTTCTTCATCTCGATACACAATTGCTCCATGAAGTCTTAATATATAGTAAAGTGAGTTATCTCCCTTTTATTTACATATTTTTCTTATTGAAATTCTCTTATATATCTTTTGGTATCTGCGTTTATTTATTTTCACTTTTAGAAAATATACACTGTCTACCATTATCATCTCAATATTATTTTTGATTATTTCCTCTAATGTTTTTATCATCGTTTTTATTGATTTTTTAAAATATGAAATAATTTAGCGTGGTAACTGTGGCAGTTTTATTTTATTTATTTTTTTTTTCATCTTTAAAATTAACATAAATATTAATAAAATCGCCCAATCTGACTTTAAGGAAGAAATAAATACATGTATCTAATTTTTCGCATCCGTTATTTCTCAGCAATTAACTTGCTACAATGTTTATTTTCTAGTTTAATTTTATTCCGAAATGTGCCACTCGTACATTTATAGTCATCCCGAGAAAGGACCTGAAAGATGTGCTTTCTCCTGAGTAACTTAATCAATTCATAGGTGATATCATGTACCTGTGTATTTGATTTACATACTTTTTCGTGTCGTATTCACATGAATCAATGATCCATCAATATGAATCATAAGGGGATAATATTCTATTACTGTTCATTGAATATAGGGCTACGTCGGGGATGACCATTTTTTTTCTCTTTTAAGTATATTATAGAGTCATTTTTTTTTTTTTTGTTTTTTTTTTTTTTTTTTTTGCTTTTTAGAAGAATTTGACCAAAAAGGAAGATCCGAGAAATGCGTAGACACTTTGATCTTCTTCAAAAGCTGCATTGCCAGAACGCACATTTTAAATCGATTTTCTTAGAGGATTTTTTATTCTTGATTTTCGAAACTACAAATTCGATAAATGTAAATTCAATATTTTTAACGTTTACAATTTGTATTTCGTCTTTTAAAGCAAACAATTACACATGTCATTAAAAAGAAAAGCAAGTCATCTGTTACATTTCGTTCAATCTTTCGTGATTTTCCACCGCTATTCTCGAGTCCATAATAATATCCCCACCCGGCTTATTATTTTACTGCCTCCTCTATTATTTATTTTCGTAAAAACGTCCTTAAAAATTTCAGTTCTAAGAAAATGATCATTTACAATTGCGAAATTGATATGATACAGATATTAAAACTTAATTCAAATTATAATTCATTCAACTCTAAAAATTCCTTCGAATTGTAACAAATGAAATATTGTATTCGTACAACATGCCGTCTTGCTTTATAAAAAGTAAATATGGGTGTGGTTTTTCCTGGATAGAATGCACGAGTGTGAAGCTTCGATATCTACTTCGACATCAGTTTATGGCTTTTTACACAATGATCCGTGAAGAAAAGGACAAATAAAGGTACATTAGAAACATACTTTATAAGGTTTATATATTTATTTGCGGTAAATATTTTGATAGAAAAGAAAAAGGTTTTAACTCACTTTAAATAATTGACTCTATGTTTACATGGCATTCTTTCAGTCTAACTAAATAAATTCTAGATTAATTCAACTCATTCTGAGATTTTTCTAGACCCCGCTTTTTGTAATCCCCACGCTTATTAGATTTTAAAAAGTTCCACTCCATCAAGTGGAGAACTTTCAGAGGGAAAATTAACTTAACTGGAGATAACTGATAACTGACATCCATCAAACATGGCACGTGGAACTAGAACAGTCTACCCCAGCGAGCGAAATAAAGGGTTCAGTTCGACATTCCAACCACCTGAAGAAAGCCGGAGCGTACAACGACCGAGACGTTGTGATAAATATGGCGAGAAAGATGAGGATAATAGTCCGAATAATGTAAATAAGGTAAATAGTAGTAATATATAATAATCCTACCAAACACGCAGCCAAACTCGTCAAATCATCTGAAACGGCAAGTGGCAATTACAATAAAAGTTAAGGATCTTTTTTCAAATTGTTTATTGTTCTATAATTTATATGTTACCATAATGTTTTTATTCTTGACAATTTTTATTTTTACAAAATTGATCACACTCTCTCTCTCTCTCTCTCTCCGTATATATATATATATATATATATATATATATATATATATATATATATATATATATATATATATATATATATGTATGGCTCAGAGTCATGGACACTATACAGAAAGCAAATTCAGCAATTAGATATTTTTTCACAAAGGCTGTCTTCAGGAAATCTGTGGGGTAAACCTAAGCGACAGAATGGCAAATGCAGACCTTTTCACCATGTGTGATATTGATGGTATTGAGTCCTTTCTCATGAAATCACAATTACCCTGGACAGGTCATGTGTTACGTATGCAAGACAACAGAATTCCAAAAATGCTCATGTATGGTCAACTTGACAATGGTCATCGAAACGTGGGTCGGCCTTTGCTTAGGTACAGGGACAAGCTGAAGAGTAACCTCTTAACTGCGAACCTTAATTACAATTTATGGAATAGAGCGTGTTATTTAGCGTGGTCAGCAATCTGAACAAGGCCAGCACACTCAAATGCTCGGTCACGATGACTTGTGACTTCATGCTAGCACAGCTATCGACGGCCCCTAAGGGTTTCGTCTGCCCAATTTCACTCATAAGACTTAGCCCAAGCTGTGGTATAGTTTTCAGGCACTTTCCAAATGTGCCGTACGCTGAGATCGCCCCCTCCCTCCAGACCAATAAAATCAGAAAGTCTTCTTCCTGACAAATCAACCATGGTGAGACTCGAACCCTGGTCTCATGGTCAGAAAGTGAACGTTCTGATCACTCATACCGACAGTTCGCTGTGGTTGCCCTGCTGATTGGGTGTTTCACGCAATAAGGGACGGATCTTTTTTTTCCCCCTCCCGGACGGCGGTGGTTCTCGACCTTCTAGCTCCTCAGACACATTTTTTAAACTGCTCACAAAACACAAACAAAATCCAAAACAAAACCCTGGGCGGAGGATCAATCGGCTCGTCCGTTGATGAAGAGCGCGGCCAGCCGCGAAAAGTGATGCAGGACTCAGTGAACAGCGACACCGCGAACTCACATTGCAGCCTCGAAATCCCTTGTGTCGGGGCCCCGTCCGTTCGAGAGGCGGAAAATGGTATCTCTTCTCACTCGATAGTCGAGAGGTATCTCACCATTCCCGGAGTTTTTTTTTTTTGCTTTCTCATGCGGAGGAAACCGGGACGTCACAGGATCGAAGTAAGATTCTTCCTTCGTCTCCAGCTTGAAGACTGCGGGGTCACTTCCGTTACATATACTATATATATAGAACAGATAATCGATCCGTTGGTCTATAATCCGGGTGGATCCTAGTAATATTAATTATTAAACTGATCCACAGAGAGGTCGATGTATTTATTATAACAGAGCATATGTATTTTTTTACACTCCAAGACAGACACTTAGGGGCTGAAGATATCCGCGTACAGACCGGCTTGAAATAGACTATCCCCATGTTGAGGTAATATATATATATATATGTGTGTGTGTGTGTGTGTGTGTGTGTGTGTGTGTGTGTGTGTGTGTGTGTGTGTGTGTGTGTACCGGGTGTAATAGCAAAATTGACCAAATCTTAGAAAAGCAAAATTGTCCAATTAAGCGCTGAACCATTGTATCTAAGAAATGATTAAACATATTTTACTGGAATTCTCCGAGGTTTTTATAACACTATTTGACTCTACTTTGAGCAATAAGAATATATAATTACTCTTCAATCTTAACAGAAGAACCATGATGAAATCGATCATAAACGGAAATGACATGTTCACCATTAATTAATCATAGCTAAGAATCGGGAGCTCATGAAGTATTGAAAAACATTTCAAATATATATATATATATATATATATATTATTTCAGGACCATTTTCCAACTTATTCAGGATGATTTTTAACCTTTCTAACCTTCTAACTTTCTGACCATGAGTAACAAGTTGTCTCACATGTTTCACGTACGATTTTATTTTCAAGTCTTTTTCACGGCTCTTTGGACTGTCATAGCTGAAACTCCTTTCTCATGTGACAAACGTCTTATAGATTGAGTTGGATCTTTTTCTAATTGATCTCTTTAGCTCTAAGTTGAAATGATGGTCCCTTTTGAAATGATGTCACTTGTTCCAGTTTTCCTCTCTACTCGTTCATCTTTTTTAATCTTATTCACCATTCTCTTGATGGTTCTTGAATGGACTTTGAAGATGGAAGCCAGAGTATAAATTTTGCTACCATTACTGCAGGCAGGAACGATCTCTTTCCTCAAACCATTGCTCCTTTGGGAAGAGAGTGGAGCTGACACAAAACGATTTTAACCTGTTCTATTTCTAACTGAATAACTGAAAGGGTTTTTTCAGTGACTCTTACAACAAATGATGTCAAGATGGCTAAACGTCTTATCTGAAAACCTGAACAAAAGAAACTCAATTTCGTGGTTTTTTAGATACTGAACATTTTGGGAGAAGGACAATTATACTGTTACACGATTTGGACAATTTTGCTGTTACACGATTTGGACAATTTTGCTGTTACACCCGTTATATATATATATATATGACTACATTTTGAATATATATATATATATGACTACATTTTGAATATATATATATATATATGACTACATTTTGAATATATATATATATATATATATATGACTACATTTTTGAATATATATATATATATGACTACATTTTGAATATATATATATATATATATATATATATATATATATATATACTACATTTTTAATATATATATATATATATATATATATGACTACATTTTGAATATATATATATATATATGACTACATTTTTGAATATATATATATATATGACTACATTTTGAATATATATATATATATATGACTACATTTTGAAGGATCTATCATTATATATATATATATATATATATATATATATATATATATATAAATAATGGTAGATCCTTCAAAATGTAGTCATGGTTCTCTAACTTCTTTTTTTTTAATATCTGTAAACAGTGTATAACATAATTACTCTTGGGGAAAATAATGAAGTGGTTTCCTGTTGCCCTCTCCATTATTTTGAATTCAGAATTTCCCTTATACTACAGTCATTGCATTTTGTTTCACATCATTTGGTGTAGTGGTGAATGGGATGTATATATATATATATATATATATATATATATATATGCAAGTTTTCCTTCACAACGAAAATTTTCTTTGGACCAATGAAAACCTTGCTTTAACAGAGATTGGCCGACGAGCTGACAAAAAGACGGAAACAAATTCGCGGGCCTATGTGAAATTGCTTTTAGACCAATGAAAACCTTGTCTTCACATAAATTAGCCGTTGAGCCAAAAAAAAAAGAAAGGAAAGAAAATATCGAGTCTATGTGAAATGCTTTTTTTTTATATATAAAATAAGAAATAAAACTTAGCAGAAGAAGCGTCTCTGAAGCCATGTAAATAGTTTAATTTCTGTTCATACATTCAGCTTGAAATTTTCACCAGTGACAAATTACCCGCCAATTATATTATCGGCCTTATCCTAGTGCTTGACACTTCTAGCATGAAGAGGGGTTTTGCCGAACATTTTTCCAATATGGCCTGCAATAAAACCAGATGCCAAGTCTATAGGTATATCATCACTGATAGCAATTTCACACCCACTGACACTCACGTAGTATTCAATCCAACAGCTCTTAATTGTGACAGTTCAAATCTTATATATTTGCTTTTTAAATTTCAATATTGGTATCATTTTGTTGGTTTTTTATTTTTCAAATTTTGTTAACAAGGCTATTAAATCTACATATAAAATGCTATTATAAAAACTTATTGATTTAGGGTTTTTAATACCTTGGCGGCAGTCCTGACCACCAAGGAATCTCTATTGTCTTAAGAAATGTCATGAATGTCTATGCATAGTTTCGTAATGATCTATAAGATCATGGTGTAATTTTATTTAACAGTTATTTCACGAAGGTATTGTTTGAACTGACAGGTTATTGACTGACGGTACGCCGGCATAAAAGCTTCTGACTTAAATTTAAAGCCGAGATGATTCTCTTAGTATTTTCTTGCTGTAACTTTTCTTTTTAGACGGAGGTCTAATTTTTGACAACCAATCAACACTTAAAAATTTAAAATTAAAATTGTACAAAGTATACATATACACCCTCTCTCTCTCTCTCTCTCTCTCTCTCCTTACAAACACTTTCCCCCTTTCACTCTCTCTAATTTCATTCTCTCTCTCTTTCGCCTTCACTTTTTATCCCCTTTCTCTCCCCACTCTCTTTTTATCCTATTTCTCTCTCCCTTTCTCCTATTTTTATCTCCCCCTCCCTTTCTCTCCCTCCTTTTCTTTATCTCTCCCTCCTTTTTCCTTTCTTTCTCCCCTCTTTTCTATCACTTTTTCTCTCTCTCTATCCGTTCCTATCCTTTTCTCTTCCTCTCTCTTTCCATCTCTTTCTTTCTCTCTCTCTCTCTCTCATTTCCTTTCGCTTTCTCTCTTCCTCTCTCACATTCTCTGAGACCGGGATAATTTAGTGTGACCTCATATCTACGAAATATCTCGTAAGCCATTCCAGAACAATACTTGTTTTCACAACCTTCATTAGCATCTATGCATTGCTTTGAATCAGTATCCGATTCACTGTCAAATTGAGAAAGTGTAGGGGAAAGATATTTCTTGATATATCTGGTCAGCCTTTCCCAAGTGACTAAGATAAAGCAAACAAATTCAGTTGACGTCAGTGGTGTTCTCTTTTACATGCCATAACGAAATCTCTAATTCGAAGCACGTAGTTAAACATGTGTTTTTTTTCCCGAAACTAGCGAACTTAAAGTAGATTTTCATCATCCATTATCAAGCTTAAAATAAACTTCCACAACATTATATCACTCTGAGTTAAGCTTAGCTTTTCTTTAAAGAAATATTTTTAAATCTCATATAATTCGCCATGATACAATAAGACTATTTAAAAATTTGGGGCTGATTCTGGTTACCATATTTCAAGTTCTACATATTACAATTTAACTAATGTAGAAAAATGCTTTGATCTTAAAGAAGAGAACACCCATACCCTGAATTACTCTTGTAGTTGGTTGGCTGGGTTTGTTTTTTGTTTAAGGGCATATCAACAACTCCTTATGGGTTATTTAATGCCGAAATTTAATTTTCTTGAGAACTTTGATATTTTTTTAAAAAAAATCTATTGCTGGAAATTTCTTTTCGCTGGTATTTTTATTATAAAAATGTATTTTTTTATACTTTCATCGTGTTCTCACCAAAGTTTGAGGTTTCAATATTTGCGCATAGCTGAGACCCTAACAGGTGTTACCACCCCGGGTTAGGGTGAACCTGAGAACAACAGCAATTAAGAGGTGGCTCCACACTCCTTAACCCCCGCCAATCAAAGGCCTTGCTGCTGGATGTAGTTTATCGTCATACCCAGGACGTATTCTTGTAGACAATCTAGTTCTTAATATTGGCTTCTGCCGAGTACATGAAAGGGTTAATTAGGTGGTGAGTGGGAGATTGTGTTACGACAACCTTCTAAGTGATCATTGTGTTACGACATTGTTCTAAGTGATCATTGTGTTACAACAATCTTCTAAGTGATCATTGTGTTACGACAATCTTCTAAGAGATCATTGTGTTACGACATTGTTCTAAGTGATCATTGTGTTACAACAATCTTCTAAGGGATTATTGTGTTACAACAATCTTCTAAGGGATCATTGTGTTACAACAATCTTCTAAGTAACCATTGTGTTACAACAATCTTCTAAGGGATTATTGTGTTACAACAATCTTCTAAGGGATCATTGTGTTACAACAGTCTTCTAAGGGATCATTGTGTTACAACAATCTTCTAAGTAACCATTGTGATACGACAATCTTCTAAGTGATCATTGTGTTACGACAATCTTCTAAGAGATCATTGTGTTACGACATTGTTCTAAGTGATCATTGAGTTACGACATTGTTCTAAGTGATCATTGTGTTACAACAATCATCTAAGGGATTATTGTGTTACAACAATCTTCTAAGTGATCATTGTGTTACAACAATCTTCTAAGTAACCATTGTGTTACGACAATCT